CCCAGAACACTTGCGGACTCGGAGCTTTCTGGGATCTACGTACTAGAACCATGGGCGTAATGGAGTCCGAACAAAGGACCCGATCCCGGGGACGGTGAGTGGAGATAGATTCACTCTTCGGTTAAACTAGCCTATACCCGGGTCGAGGTGGCACGATCTAGGGGGTCCCTGAGACTCGACAATGTTTGCAGCAGGGCATTCTCTTGAACTACCCCTGACCCTTATGTGGCAGGATGTCCTCTGGGACTACCCTTGACCCTTTGGGATGATTGGGGATCATTGGTTAGGTGTGGCTAAGAAGAAGGGTTCACCGAGGGGTTGATCTCCTCTTCGGGGTTTTCCTCATCCTCGAAGAGGTCACCTCCTCGGACAAGGTGGTTAGAGAGAATATTCCTCATGTGCCTCCATCCTACATCATGAGGTGCCTATAAATAGCACCCACCCATAGCTTTACAAGTGATGGATTTTGGAGAATTAACTCTTGGGAAAGAACTAATTTCCCTTCTCCATTATCAACCTTGAGAGTGAAAGTGGGAGATCCATGGGAGAGCCTTGCTATTATTCTCTCTCTAGCCATTTTGCCTTCTTCTTCACCCAATCTCTTATCTCCATCATCTCCTTTACTCTTGTGTTCTTGAGTTGAGACTGTTGAAGAATCTAAGCCTCTCATCATCTTCTAGAGAATTCGAAGTTGTTCTTAAAGGATCTTCGAAGATCTTCGAATTTTTGAACGACGTTCTTGAACCGTTTCATACATTTGGCGACTCCACTGGGGAGGCGGATTGGTTAATGGTCTCAACGAGATCTAGAATCCACACAACTCCAACAAGGATGGCGGGAGAAGATGAAGTTCACCAACAAGGATCCTCTAATGGTGGTGATGACAGGACCATGGCTCCAGATCAACCACTTTTGCTTGAAGCCATTCAAGGACTTCAAAATACTCAGCAGGAGATTCTTACCACTCTTCAGAATCTCACTCACACCATGTTGGTGATGAGTTCTAATTTTGCACCGGCGCCAAATGGAAATCAAACTGGTGGTGGAGTTATTCCCGCCGGAGTGCAAAATCAAATCCAAGGAGAAGTAAGCCCCAGTCAACCTATGGCTCATGGCAACATGGCCACAGTAACACATGCTCAAACCACAGTAGGCGGCAGCAGTTTGCCCACGCCCGGGCTCCATGGCGTGCCAAGCCAAGATCCAATGGTGGCTGGGGGAGGTTCTGGTGTAATGAATGCCGTTCCGGCGACTATTGATGTCTAGGCAAATATAAGGGGCATAATGGCGCAAAAGGGAGCTCTGCCCGTACCTAATCTTGTTACACCACCAGTAAATGTTACTCAAGTACCAGGTGGGCCTCCTTTGGTGCCAACAACAAATTTGCAAGCACAACCCGGTATAGCGGCGCCATGCGGTGGACTTTACGGGCCTCAATTCAATGTTCCATCACCAACTGGCTTGTCTATAGGCACCGATGGACAATATCGTCAAATGTCCTCACCAATGGTGAATTCGCAGCACCAGAATGGCCACGTCACCCTTAGCTCAGTCTTTGGGTCCATAAGCCAAGTTCCGAGAATACCACCATCAAACTCTCTCCCTCAATAGTTTCTCACTCTCGCCGATGTGCAAGCCATGTTCAATCTCGAATGGGGCAAAAGGACTTTACCTTCTTTGCCTGATCCGGATGTCAAGCCCCCTTACCCCATTGAGATGTTGAGCTATCCATACCCTGAGGGATATACAGTGTCGAAGTTCATCAAGTTCGATGGCAAACAAGGAAATGCTCGAGAACATGTTGTACGATTCATCGAGACTCTGGGTATTCATGGTTTAAACCGCGTCCTCTGGCTGAGAGAATTCTCTAAGTCCCTCACCGACCGAGCATATAGTTGGTATGTTAATTTGGCCCCAAACTCTGTCCGAAGTTGGGAGGAAATGGTTAACAAATTCCACAATAAGTTCTTTTAAGTGGCGGAGAAGATGACCACACTTACATTGTGTAAAGAAAAACAGCAGGAAAGTGAAGACATCCTTGACTACGTCAAAAGGCTTCAAGACAAGGCCGTGGATTGCCATGAAGTAGTGAATGAGAGTTATCTGGTCCAAATCTGTCTAGAAGGGGCATTGAGCAGGTACAAAATGTTTCTAGTTAATCACAAGCTACCCACCTTCTCGGCATTAATAGAAGCAGCTCGGAACATTAGCATTCCTCAGGCTCAGGAGTTCGGATTTAAGGCCAGTTACAAGACTAGCTTCAAATCGTCTCGTGGACCTATTGTTGCTGCTGCCTCTGCCCTAGATACCCGAAAGTCACAAGGAGGAGGTCATAGAGGCCAGAAGAGAAAGCAATATAATGGTGAAAAGGGTAATGTTTCTTATCCATGTGGAATCGAGGAAGTAAAAGCTCTAGTTAAGGAATGGGTGGCTGACGGAGAGCTAAAATTGCCTTATGTCGAAGAAATGCCATCAAAAAAGGACCGTGAAAGCCCTGAATTTTGTGTCTATCGTCGTACATTGAAACATCTGACAGAGAAGTGTTGGACTCTCTGGAAAATCTTCAGAGATAAAGTCGAGGCAAACGAATTGAGGTTCAAAAAGCAAGGGACTCAAGATATTCGAGAACGACCATATCCTCAGCACCGAGACAAGGGCAAAAATGTTACTGTGATAGCTTATGAAGGCCCGATGATTGAGGCTATTGCCAATCTCGATGACAATGATTATTATCTGGACGACATCCTCGAGCCTGAGGGTGAGCAAGTTTACTATGGAAGTGCTCTCGATCCAGAGGGCAGAACCTTCACAACTCATGTCGACGATCCCTTTGATCCAGAAGGAGGAGAAGAGTACTATGGAAGAGGAGGACACCATGTTTATGTGGCATCTTATTTTGGAAAGACCGAGGAGATGGTTAACTACGAGCCTCCAAGAGTGGAAAAAGATCCGGATCACTATGCCACAACCTTGCAAGACTGTGTAAAGTTCAAGCAATTCTTCGACCAGCTTGGACTTTCCAGGGAGGCAAGAACAGAAATCACCAAGTCTATCATCAATATAGCTGAGGCACACCATGAGGAATGCATGTCGACCAAGGGATCTATTCCGAGGAAGGCAAAAGAGCAATCTAGTGCCATTACTTTCTCCGAGACTGATCAGAAGTATCCCTTTTCTCACAACTGCCCGCTTTACGTGACTGCTTTTATTAACGGGATTGAGTTCAAAAGGGCCTTTCTGGACAACGGAGCCTCTATCAACATTATGACTCGCGCTACTCCAGAAAAGGCCGGAATCCCTGAAGGGCGCATTGTGAAACAGCCGATAGTCATCACTGGCTTTGGTGGAGAAAGGAGAGTTACTATAGTATGTGTAATAGTTGATTTAGCCATCGAAGAGATTTGCTCGGCCACCAGGTTCCATATTATCAACTCCGAGGCAAATTATCACATCATTCTAGGGAGGACCTGGATGCATAGATATGGGGCCGTACCATCAAGTTATCATTAGTGTGTTAAGGCTAAATGGGGAAAGAAGACGGTGACAATTCAAGCTACAAAAAGGCCTTTCGAGATCCATGAAGCTTATTATTCTGATGCCATCTACTTCACCGAACTGGTTGTCAAATAAATTCCCACCACCTCTAAGCCTCGGGGGGTAAAAATTCCTTGTTGGGAGGATATCAAAGATGACAAGGAGCCAAGGGCAGAATCAAGTAAATGGGCAATGTCTCAACCAGAAAGTTCGCCTATTCCTCGGAAGGTAATGAAAGTCCGAGAAGGGGGCAAGATGATGTACTATTTGTGAAGGTGCGGGGAGTCGGTTTCTTCAGCCACCGACTCCGAGTCAAAAGAAGAGTCCCGACAATGACATAGCAATAAAGCCTGAAGTGGCTCCAGAATGCATACAAGATGGGCCAAAGCCTCAGCCCGAACAACTTATTGAAATAGATCTGAGTGATGGACAGATGCACCAAGGCCGATATTCATAAGTTCGAGCCTTAACCTAGAGAAGCGGGAACAGTTGTTAAAGTTAATAAGTCAGTATTCAGATGTGTTCGCTTGGTCATATAAGGAAATGCCCGGACTAGATCCTGACCTAGTCTCCCATTATCTTGATGTGTTCCCAAACTCCAAGCCAATTAAGCAAGCTGCTCGAAAATATCATCCGGATCTCGAAGAGAAGATTAAGGAGGAGATTGAAAAACTTCAACAAGCAGATTTTATCCGGCCAATACAGTACCCCGCATGGTTGGCAAACATAGTGCCAGTAAAGAAGAAGAATGGTCAAATTAGAGTATGTGTAGACTTTCGAGATTTGAACAAATCTTGCCCGAAAGATGAATTCCCTCTACCACACATCGACACCCTCGTGGATGCCACCTCGGGACACCAGATGTTCTCATTCATCGATGGATTCAGTAGATACAATCAAATTAAGATGGCTGAAGAGGATGCAGAAAAGACTGCTTTTAGAACACCTCTCAGAAACTTCTTCTATACAGTCATGCCTTTCAGACTCAAGAATGCCGGAGCAACTTACCAAAGGGCTATGACTGCAATCTTTCATGACATGATCCATCATGAGGTGGAAGATTATGTTGATGATCTAGTGGTGAAATCCAAGCAAGAAGAGGACCATCTCCGAGACCTTGAGAAGGTATTCAAGAGGTGCCAAAAATTCAAAATGAGGATGAATCCTCTCAAATGTGCTTTCGGGGTGACGGTTGGGAAGTTCCTCGGGTTTCTTGTACATAGGCATGGTATCGAGGCAGATGAAGACAAGGTCAAATCTATCAGAGCAATACCTCCCCCGCATTCTCAGAAGGAGTTAAAGAAGTTCCTCGGGAAGGTGTCTTATATTCAGAGGTTTATCCCAGCACTTGTAGAGATCTCTGCCCCTTTCGGCTCATTGTTAAAAAGATATGCAAAGTTCGAGTGGAACCAAGAGCACCAAAGGCCTTCGAGAGAATCAAGGCAGCCTTGACCTCACCTTAGACCATGATAGCCCCGCAGCCCGGGGTACCTTTAATGTTGTACCTAACCTCAACCCCCAAGTCCATAGGGAAATTATTGGTCCAAGATGTAGACAGAGCAGAACACCCGGTGTATTACATCAGCCGGAAGATTCGAGGAGCAGAAGTCCGATATACTCTGATAAAGAGACATTGCTTAACTTTGGTATTCCCCGCCCAAAAGCTCAGACATTACTTCTTAGCACATCAGATTCAGATTGTTACTAAAAGTGATCCAATCCGATACCTCCTCAGCAAGCCTGCTCTAACCTAGAAGGTGGCAAGATGGTTGTTAGCACTGGGTGAATTCGAGATCACATGTGTAGCTCCCAAGGCAATCAAAAGCCAAGCCTTAGCTGATCTCCTTGCTCAATTTCCAAGTGGTGACTATGAACCAGTGAATGGAGAATTAAGAGGAGAGGTGCATGCAGTTATGGCTTCTGAGGAAAGCTTTTGGACATTGAGCTTTGACGGAGCAGCAGTCGGAGGGAAAGGAGGAACCGGGATAGTCCTTACAAGCAAAAGTGGGGAAAAGTTATATTTTTCTTATAAACTGGATTTCTATTGTTCAAATAATGAAGCTAAGTATGAGGCTCTTATTTTAGGCTTGATAGCAGCTGAGAAGCACAGTATCAAGAAGATTCAGATTCGGGGGGACTCAAAGCTAATAGTAAAGCAAGTTTCAGGACAGTTCGTCTTAAAAGAAACAGTCCAGAGGCTTCTTGACAAATTTCAAAAGGTCGAAATAGAGCATGTGCCTCGCTCTGACAACAAGTTTTCAGATGCCCTCGCAACATTAGGGGCAAGAGTTGATATCCTAGAGGAGGAGGCGACAATTATTATCAAGAAGAGAACAGAGCCTTCAATAATACCCGAAGACAAAGACCTTCCGGAGGACTGGAGAGGAGAAGTCCTCGAACAACTCAGAAGCAAAGTTGGAAAACTGACTATGGCCAAGCTTACCCAATTCATAATTATTGAAGGTGAACTTTACTTCAGAGGGGGTACCGGATTCCTAGCCCGGTGTGTTGGCCAACAAGAAGCAAGCTTCCGACTACAACAAATCCATGAAAAGTCTTACGGAGATGGGGATATCAGTCTGTACAGAAGAATCCAAAAACAAGGCTATTATTGGCCCGAGATAGAGAAGGCCTCGAATCAATTACAGAAGGAATGCCCCAAGTATCAGTCATACATCCGGGAGGATGAGAGTTGCTTTAAAATTGATACCCCTGACTGGAGGCAAGTCTACATTGACTATCTCAAAGAGGGAAACACTACCTGAAAGCCCAAGGGACATTACACACCTCAAGAGGAGAGCAAGACGGTACTTTCTTGATCAGAACAAGCTTTACAGAAGAAGTATTGAGGGCACTCCCTTGAGGTGTCTCTCCAAGGAGGAGTCAGATCTAGTCCTCGAGAGAGCCCACGAAATTGAGCATCAAGGAGGGGCTCGGCTGTTCGAACAACTTATACACCTTGGGTATTACTGGCCGACCATGGAGTCAGATGCGTCCCATCACGTGAAGAGGTGCCAGACTTGTCAGAAACACAGAAATTTGATCCATGCTCCAGCTGTAGACCTGCATAGTCTCCGAATGCCATGGCCGTTCCATACCTGGGCTTTTGATCTGATAAGGCCCATCTCCACACCTTCTAAGGGGTACAAGTGCATTCTCGCAGCTACAAAATTAAGCACAAAGTGGGTCGAAGTAATCCCTCTAAAGAAAGATACGGGTCCCGCCATCTCGAATTTCATCAAGGAAAATATCATTTGCTGGTTTGGAGCACCAAACACTATCCTCTTGGACAATGGTACTCCCTTCATAAACAAATATGTGAAGAGCCTCCTAGAGACTTACCAAGTGAAGCATCACAAATCCACACCCTACTATCCAAAAGGTAACGAGCAAGCGAAGGCCACAAACAAGACATTGATAAGGATTTTGAGCAAGATGATGGATGAATTTGGGGGGACTTGGTCCGAACAGTTGATAGTAGCCCTATGGGCATATCGCACTTCAAAGAGAAAGCCAACTCAAGCAACTCCTTACTCCCTTGTGTATGGGTCCGAGGCAGTGTTACCTATAGAGTTGGAAACACCATCTGCTCGAATGGCTCTCGCCTCGGGGATGGTACTGGAGCCTCGAACCACCAGATTGAAAGCATCAGAGGAAAAGCATGATAGAACTGCAAAAGTCATGCAAAGGTATCATGAGTCCATCGCCCGAGCCTATAATCGGACTGTGGTGCCAAAGAGAAGTTCGAAGAAGGTGATCTAGTATGGAAGATTGTAGACCCAATTATACGAGGACAACCCTTGCCCAAGTTTTCTCCAAAATGGGAAGGGCCCTATAGGGTGGTTCAAGCAAGCTCAAGTGGGTACTACAAGCTTGTAAGGGTTGAAGATGGCTTCCGAACTGGCCCGCTCAATGCAAAGTTTATCAAGCATTACTACCCGTAGTTAGACTCATTTATGTTGAAATTCATTTTCATTTTCCTACTTTGTCTAAAAGTTGTATTTCCCTTACGTTATGAAGAAGCTGGTTTTCTTTATGATGTATGTTTTATCCCATTACTTGCAGTGAATTTATTACACTTTTGTCAAGAAAGTTGAAGAATTAATGAGAATATTTCAGCTTTTATAAACATGTGCATATGATTGTTCTTTCCATTATATCATTCGAAATAAATATTTTATCAAGTAGAATGAGAAAACAATGCAAAAATATCCAAACAGCAAAGATTTTGTCATTTCATTGCATTGTTCTAGATAAAACATTTCTATTGAAAGGGGCAAGAAAGTAATGATAAAAAAAAAACTCAATCTCTCCTAAAAACACCCTCGAAGAAGCTGCCCGTCACATCTACATCCGGAGGACAAACAGGAGAGTCTGCCTCTAAAGTCTCCAAGGCCCAAGCATAGCCTGACTCAAGTTTCCGAAGAGTTGCCTTTGTCTCATCTATAGAGGTCCGATAAGAGGCAAGCACAGACAAAATTTCCTCCCGATGACTAGCGTTCGAAGCTACATTTAGGCGTTTCCGAAGCCATGATAAATCCACTTGGTGACGCTCCATGTCAGAGATCCCTTGATACGCCGTCTCGACTACTTTCCCATTAAGGTCACACAACCGTTGCCTATCTCCCTACTAAAACATTAGTAGCCATT